CCGTATGATGCACATGTGGACGTCCGCCTCTCCTGCTGAGAGGAATTGGGCAGAGCATGAGCGCATCCACATGGCCAAGCGCAACAAACTCAAGTTCAGGAAGGCCGTGCAGTTAATTGAGATTGCTACCAACCTCAAACTACTTGGATGTAGCGAGCGGAGTGGGGGGTACGTTCTTCCGTGGGGCCACATGGCGACCCTGGCTGAGGCGCACCCTGAGGAGTATACACACGTCGTGGTTGACGACGAGGACGAGGAGGAGGAGCCTGAGCCAGAGGAGTGGGGAGCCCGACCTCAGTCGGCAGTGCCTGCATACGAGATCGGTGCACAACTTCGTCGATTCCAACAATAGGGTTCTTGTCGTCCGGCGGGAGTTGGTGAGGTTTTCAGTGCCAGAGCCAAGACACTGCATCCTTTCGACTATACGCCTCCACGGCCAGCACAGCCGGCGCAGGCATCGGAGCAGCAGTCGGACACGGACGACGTTGAGGATTTGTCAGTTGGTGTAGATAAGAGTGCCGAGAGACTCTACTACACATGCGGTGGAGGACCGGACGGTTTTCAGTCACAATGCACCTTCATTCGGAAGAGCGAGGACAATTCCTTCCCCGCTACGGATAGTCCGCCACCGAGGGTTTTAGGAGATCAGTGTGGTTGCAGACGCTGACCAACTCGTCCACGGGTGCTAGACGCGAGGTGTCAGATCACCTTGATATCTTAATGAGGCTCATTCGTATGCATCTAGTTGTGTTACACACGAGCAGAGGGAGGGAGGAGAAGTTTCACACGAAACGAGAGAGAAGGGGAAAAGGGAAGAGGAGGAGGTAAGTGGACGGACAAGAGAGGCAAACTTCACACGGTTCTAAGTACTCACTACTCGAGCAGACTACGAGGGAATGGCTCAAAAAGTTGGTCTGTGTTTGGGTTGCCGAGAGAATATTTGAGCGTTTGCACTTGACGAACCATGGTACGTTGTCCTTAATCTACTTCTTTGTCCATGCCTTCTGATTGGAATTCGCAACCCAGAAGCAGTAATCTATAGCAGGTACGAACTATTTTTGGTGACTAGGAGAGAAAGGATACCAAAAGCAGCAAGCGCCCACCCAGTTAAAAAATAAATAAAATTAGAAAAAGTAAGAAGCCCGACCCATGAGACCGCACCTTCATGGTCATATTAGCCATTTTCCTCTCCTTTATCCTTCTCTTCTTTGTCCCTCTCTTCTTTTTGAAAAAAAAAATAAGATTTTTTATTATTTTCCAATTTGTGTGTGTCATCCAGGGGTTCATGCTAATCTTCTCGGTATGGTTTCAATTCTAACGGGTTTCCCGATGGACTTTTGTCCTTCTCTTGTTTCCTCCTCTAACAAAGTAAGCTATTTTTGGAGAGAAGGGATACCAAAAGTGGCAAGTAACCAATGACAAAAAACTTGGAAAAAGTAAGAGACCTGACCCATTTGAGCACACTCTCATGCCCACGGCCATGTTCATGGTTTTCCTCTCCTTTGCGCTTCTCTTGCTTCCTTCTTCTTTGCTACCAATTACTACCATATACTACAACAACCATTACCGTTTTTTCACACTGTCTCCTTACACTTGTCTTCTTTGCCCTCCCAATATTACTACAATTTATGCTTCCCTTTATTTTTCTTGTGTTTCTTATTTCCCTTTCCTGTGTCTTCTTTACAGGTTTGTAGGTATCAGGTCTCCACACATTAACATTTATTTTTTCACCTCCTAAAAAATTATAAATATGGAATTATGATTTGCTAATTCGCTCACGGAGTGCAGCATGGTGATTACAATAGTAAGCAAGTTACCAACCATGTAGATATCACAAGCTGCAAATCTAGGTTCCTTGTTTGCACACAATCCATCAGCACCCTAGTGGAAACGTGTTGCAAAACCAAAAAAAAAAATATAGGTCGAGGCAGACATAGAAGTTTATAGGTTCATACCTTTGAGCCAAAGACCCTCCTCCCTGCAAGCACAAATTTGAACCGGTGACCTCGGCCTCAACAGCCAAGTGTTCAAAAAAAGTGGAACCATACCGGCTATGATATCCACCCCACCCTTGCAAGGCTGTATTTTCCTACTCGACACACACCACACACACCATACAGACGAAGACACAACAAAATTGAAAAAAAAAGTGAGAATTGCATATTGCACAGACCCGTTGAGGAGTGCCGACGGGAGCAGAGAAAAAAAAAGAAGAAACCATGGGATACTGGTAACCAACCCGGGTATACATAAATGGACATACAAGTTGTTTGGTCGACTCAGGTCGCTCACACTCTGGGTGGTGTCGAAAAGGAGATGCAAAGGAATCCTGGACCATTAGGATGTGTCATCTGGGAAAGCATGGGAGGATACGAGGCGACTTTTGGATACTGAGTACTATCTCGGGTGCAGACTGCAAAAGCATCTGACACAAGAATCAGAGAAAAGGCAGCAACTTTTGGACAAATTCAAAACGGAGAGTCTGAGGAACAAAAAATTGGGGAGAGTAAAAGGCAGTCGACTTAGATGCATATGGACACAGGTCTAACTGGAGGTGAGTCATACACAAATAAAGGTTGAGGGCGTAGATGCATAAGGACACAAGTCTACTGGGAGGTGGGTCATACACAGATCCTACAAGGAACCCCTTTGGAAGCGAGCGGGGTGCGCCTACATAAGCAAGTATAACCTTCGACTGACAAATGCTACAGTACTCCAGGGTTCTAAGAAACATCCCACATACTTTGGGGCATCGGCTAACAGGGGGCGAATGGAGTTATACACTAGGAGCAGACCAATCACCTCTGTGGCTGCTTGATAGCTATCCGGGCCCGGTCGTATGGCCGGCGGGGGAGAGTTTCGCCAATGGCTGATCCATAATAAAAGAAACTCCCGCTGACCTAAATCCTTAAAGCACCAGTACATCCGAAAAAGTAGATTGAACCTTTCCTAAAAATTTGGAGCTCATGGACTGTCCATAAAATCAATCGACAATTCATGGCCTCCCATTTTTCAGGAGAGGCTCAATCTCCCTTTTCGAAGTACTGGTGGTTTAACACCCCGAGGTATCCTGGGAGTCCAGAGCATTGTGGCACTGACGACAGCAACCAGGGTGCTTACTTCACTAGATTGCAGGGCATCACAGTTCATTATTTGCGTGTGAGGATATCTCAGGCAGGGGTGAGGGATGGTAAGCATGTATTTTCTGACTTGCTAGTCGAAAAGAAACCGGACTGTTGCTGCCAAAAATAAGAGCTTATGTTTCAAAAAAAAAAAATAAAAAAAAATCCAGATTAAGGAATCAGTGCATCTATCACAACGCAGATACTCCTCTCTCTCTCTCTCTCTCTCTCTCTCTCTCTCTCTCTCTCTCTCTTTGTACGTGTGTATATGACACCTGCGTATGTGTGTTCGTCCCGTAGACAATCTTCTCATTTCCAGCAAAGTCGAGAGGCATGAGCCCGATGTAGGGCCCCACCCTGTTAGAATTCGAGCTTCAATCGACCCTTTTGCAGGTCCCAGTTGGCTCGGGTCCACCCACACTCATGCTCTAGGCGCGGAGCCATTCGTCACAAGGTCACCCGCACCTAGTGCTTTGAGATGGATGAGGGTGGGCCAAAAAGCGAGAGAGTTTTGACATTGAAGATGTTGCTCAACTTTCTCGCTAGGTGAGTAGATGTTGCTCAACTTTCTCGCTAGGTAAATAGATGTTGCTCAACTTTCTCGCTGGGTGAGTAGTTTTACTTATTTTCTCGCAAGCATTTTTTCTTTTATGCTTTGTCATGTTTTCCTGCAATTGCTTCTTCCAATATACAAGCAGTCCAGGGGTCTTTTGAGAACTCTTTCTTCTTTAATCCGTAGGCTATGCGTCCTTCTTGGGCCACACATCCATTCACTAAACGCAACGATCTTATGGTTTCATCAAGGTGGGAAACACCACTTATCCTCATGGCTAATCTACGCATTAGCCTTCTCTATCTCATATATCATGCATCATGTTTAGTCACTTCCCTATGCACCCTTTAGTCTTTTCGGGGTTCTCACCCCACATTCTCATCTAACTAGGCGGCCTCCCCGACCATCCGACACTTTTGCAGACCTTAACCATACAGACCACCTTTTTCTTTCACGATTGGGACCGTATGCATAAAATGACTCATGCGTAGGAGAGGGTTACGTCCACAACCCATTTGGTTTTTGTTCCCCCTTCCTTTATTTTGTCGCCCGGCCTCTCCGAGCACATTCTAGCTCAACACATTTTTTAAGGCTACTCACCTGCACAGTCAGTACAACGCAGACAAGCACAACCCCCATCTGCGGTCAACACACCATCCTCCCCGCATGCCTAATTTTCTTTGTCCTTAGGTTTCTTCCTTCTCATTTCCTTCCATCATCCAAACCCTCCTCTTCTCTTAGTCATGAAGTCGAGGTGTTGGTTGAATCAACTGAACTTGCTTTCACTCAGCAATTGTCTCTAATCCTTCTTTGGACTTCTCAACCTTTAAGTCCTCAAACACTTTTGCGTTTACAACACTTTCCTTCTTTTCTTTTTGGTGGCACAAGGGACTGATTGCCCTTCTCTTGCCCTTCTCTTGCCCTCTCTTTCCACCCAATGATATCATAATTCTTTCACCGTTCGTCTCCTGCCAATGTAACAAGTGAGTGGGGAAGGGTTAGTTGCATCCCAAAAGGGGGAGGAAGAAAAGGAAGAGATTGACCTTGGGGTATGGGAAAGGAAGATAGGTTTTGGCGACCAAGGAAGGAAAAAAAAAAAAAAAAAAAAAGAGAGAGAGAGAGAGAGAGAGAGAGAGAGAGAGAGAGAGGAGGATAGGTTTTGACGACCAAGGAAGAGAGAGAGAGAGAGAGAGAGAGAGAGAGAGAGAGAGAGAGAGAGAGAGAGAGAGAGAGAAAAAGAGAAAAAAAAAAAAAAAAAAAAAAAAAAGACCCCCTACGACTAATCAAAGCTTGACTTCTACTCGCCCTACCCTCCTACCTAAGATCCCTCCTATGTGTTGCGTTCTCAAATTCCCTTGAACATGGGGCTGGTTGGCCATGGTGGTGGAGGAGGAAGAAGGCGTGAAGAGACTTGGCTATGGTGGATGGGTGATGGAGGTGGAGGAGGAGAAAGTTGTGGAGGTGCTTGACTATGGTGGATGGGTGATGGAGGTGGAGAAGGAGGAAGGTGTGAAGGTGCTTGGCTATGGTGGATGGGTGATGGAGGTGGAGGAGGAGGAAGGCATGAAGGTACTTGGTTATGGTGGATGGGTGATGGAGGTGGAGGAGGAGGAACGTGTAAAGATGCTTGGCTATGGTGGATGGTTTATAGAGGTGGCGGGTGAAGAAGGTGTGAAGGTACTTGACTATGGTGGATGGGTGGAGGTGAAGGAGGAGGAAGGTGTGAAGGTGTTTGGCTATGGTGAATGGGTGAAGGAGGTGGTGGAGGAGGATGTGAAGGAGCTTGGCTATAATGGATGGGTAAAGAAGGTGGAGGAAGAAGAGGGTGTGAAGACACTTGGTTATGGTGGGTGGGTGATGAAGATGGAGGAGCTGGAAGGTGTGAAGGTGCTTGGCTATGGTGGATGGGTGTGATGGTACTTAACTATGGTGGATGGGTGAAGGAGGTGGAGGAGGAAGAAGGTGTAAAGGTGCTTTGCTATGGTGGATGGGTGAAGGAGGTGGTGGAGGAAGGTGTGAAGGTGTCTGGCTATGGCGGATGGTTGAATAAGGTGGAGATGGGAAAGGAGTGAAGATGGTCGTAAGCTTCCTGTGTCATCCTACTTGCTCATCGTCCGAATCATCAGAAAACTCAAAACTTACGAAATTCAGACTTGCAACAAACACTCAGACTTGCGAGAAACTCAAATCACGAAAAACTCTAATTTATCAAATTTCCGATTCCGATTTTGTCGATTTTGTGAGGGGAGGGAGAGCCGAAAAACTCAGATTTGTGTTTGCAGACCTAAACGACGTTAGATGGATTTGTAACTTTACAACCCCTTTGTCTTTACCCTATTGATGACCTTCCTAAAATTGAGTTTTATTTCGTCGCCGCTGGCCTCAACTTGCCTGTTTCGGCCACCGCCCGATGCTCTAAGTGAACAGTTCGAGGAAGAACATTTTTCGTTTTTTGTGGGAAAATGAACTCAGATGAATTGGGGGGGTTGCAGACAGGTCTAAACGGTGTTAGATGGCTTTGTAACTTCACAACCCCGTTGTCTATACCCTACTGACGACCCTTCTAAAATTGAGCCTGATTTCGTCGTTGTTTGCTCCGACTTGCCTGTTTTCGGACACCGCCTAATGCTCTAAGTGAACAGCTCGAGAAAGTCCATGTCTCATTTTTGTGGGAAAATGGACTCATATGAATTGGGGGGTTTGTAGAATGTCTATCTATGCCTAGGATATGGGGTCTTTCAAGTCTCTGCTCCCATATCACTTGTTTGACGGAGTTGGTTGTTGGCACCCCTGGGTCGTGTCGTCCTGTTGGTAATTTCGGACCAGTCCTCGCCCCCAGGGTTAGACAACGATTCTCGACAGTAGCAGCAACCAAGAGATTGGTCAGACATCAACAACAATAGCAGCAGCTTCATTATCATCATCGGGAGCAGCTTCAACAACAACGATAGTTCCCTATTATACTTCCCCCTTTACCATGTTCAAATAGAACATGTGGTGGGGGGGGTAAAGCGATGTTCAAATAAAGCACAGGAGGGGATGAAGTGGCATTCAAATAGAGTAAGTGGGGGTGAACTGTTACACACACATAATTGTACTTTGTACATTCAACAAGTGAGGGGCATCCATGAATGAGGCAGCGCAGCCTTTAGTGGGGGAATGACCAGATGCGGGAGTTACATTGGTCAAACATTCACACATGGCTTGTTTAATAAAAAAACTAGAGTTACGATTTTCAACCAAGAGAGGAAATAGTCAATAAAAAAAAAAAAAAAACTCACAACACTAGAATGGACAAGAACACAGATTGCAAATTACCCCCATGTGAAGGTTTGGACAAAACATTGAAGGAGAGTGAGAAAAACTCACTTCCAAGCATGAAAACACAAAGTACAAAGTGACGATTCACAACTAAGTGAAGGAATGGACAATGCATGAAGGAAAAAAGGTTCGCAATACAAGAATGGACAAAGACAAAAATTGCGATTTACACCCAAGTGAAAAATTGAACAAAAGATAAAGGGATAGTGAGTTTGACATCACAAAGGACAAAGATACGATTTTCAAAGGAGTGTACAAATGAACAAAGCATGAGTATATGATGATTACAACACTAAAATAAGCAAAGACAAAAACAACGATTTACACCCAAGTGAACAATTGGTCAAAAGATGGAAGGAGAGTGAGTGAAACTCATTTCCAAGCTTAAAAACACAAAGTGAAGATTTTTAATGGAGTGAGGAAATGCACAAAGCATGAGTAGATAATGACTACAACACTGGAATAAGCAAAGAGAAAAATAGCAACTTACACATGAGTGAAGAATTAGACAAACGATGGAGAGAGTGAGTGAAACTCACTCCCAAGCTTGAAAACACAAAGTACAAATGACGATTTACAATGGAGTGAGGAACTTGACAAATCATGAGTAGATGATGACTACAACACAAGAATAAGCAAGACAAAAGTAGCCATTTACACCCAAGTGAAAAATTTGACAAAAGATAAAGAGAAAGTGAGTGAAACTCACTCTCTAGCTTGAAAACACAAAGTACAAAGTGACGATTTACAATAGAGTGAGGAGATGGATAATATGGAAACAACCATTAGTGGAAAAACTACTTCCTAATTTCTTCATGGTCAGTATGTTAGTCATGGAGAGAAAGAGAGAGGAGGGGAGAAAAGAAGGAGAGGATCAAGTGGAGAGAAAGTGGGGAAGAAGAATATAGGTATCAGAGGATGGTGAAGAAAAAGAAGGGGAGGAGGTTAAGGAGAAGAAGAAAAACAAGATGACGAAAATAAAAATAAAAATGAGGAAGGTGATGAAGAAAAGGAGTATTTTCTCTTATTTCCACTCACCTCCTTTATTCTCTTGAAGTTGAGATGCCAATCGTGATGAAGTTTTCCTTCTCTTTGCACATTTGTTGCCGAGTTGTGACTTCCTTCTTCTTCAAACCCTGATCCTTCTCTCTCCTCAGTTTGTCTTTAACTATGACAAACTCCTACTACTAAGGTTATAAAGTAATCCCTTCTAGGAGGGCTAAGGGGATTCTTTCTAGCCTTCCTTTTCTGTCGCCCGCCAAAGGCAGCCATCGCAGTCCTACGACGGATCACTTCCACTAGCCTTTGTAACTCCTCTCACTAACATAGTCTCCCTCAAGCTACCAAACTAGCAGCGGTTCCCCTCCTCTCACTCCGGTTGAGTGTAGTGCTCTCTTAAGCTCATACAAGCGTTCTTGAGCTTATACGAACAGTGTACTCGCCTTATGAAGATGTGGGTGTGGCGGGCTTCTCCCCCAACTTATATAGGCTGGCTGGGCACAACACTTCGGTGCCCATGGGTCTCTCTATGTGGCCCAAGGTGAACCAGGGTACCCCCAAGGCTTTTTTTCCACTAGTAGGCCTCTCCGGGAGTACCCGGGTTTCTTTTTGGCCAAGTACATGCAGTCCAAGTGGTTGGTATCAACTCGTACTGTCTCTAGAGCCTCCTCATGCCTCATTTTCATTTTCAATGTTGCCTCTTGGGTCTAAATACTCAAAGGGAAACCCCACTTGAGAGAAAACGACCTTACAAATTTTTTTCTTAATTTTTACAGTCTCACCCCAATTTGAGGTGGCCGAGGCATTTTTTTATGTCTCAGTACACTTTCAGCCTTGAATCTGTCTGAGATCTAAGAGCAACATTAATCCCAACTACCCCCAAGTAACCCTTGATTAAAATTTGAGCCCCATGACTCGCTTGTTCAATTTTTTTTGCATTTGATCTCCATTTTCGGCCAAATGCACTGTTTTATTTTTCTCTTATTTTGTGTCTTTCTATTTTGGGTGTCATTTCATTCCGAAGTTCGCCGTTTGGGTTGGCCTCACTAGAAACGGCTATATCACCTCCTCCATGCAACTTTTGGTCAAATTCAAAATGAAGAGTCTGGGGAATGAAAAGTTCACGAGAGTAGAAGGCAGTCGACTTAGATGCGTGTGGACGCAAGTCGAACGGGAGGTGAGTCATACACAGATCCTACAAGGAACCCCTTTGGAAGCGAGTGAGGCGCGCCTACATAGGGAAGTATAACTTTCAACTGACAAATGCTACAATACTACAGCGCTGCAAGAAACGCCCCACAGTCTTTGGGGCATCGGCTAAAAGGGGGCGAATGGAGTCATACACCAGGAGCAGGTCAGTCACCTTTGTGGCTGCTTGATAACTATCCGGGCCCGATTGTATGGCCGGAGGGGGGGAGTTTCGTCTGTGGCTCATCTATAATAAAAAAAACTTCAATTGACCTAGGTCCTTGAACCACCAATACATCCAAAAAAGTAGATTGTGCCTTTCCTAAAAATTTGGAGGTCAGGGACCGTCCATTAAATCAATCGACAATTCACGGCCTCCCACTTTCCAAGAGAGGCTTAGTCTGCCTTTTCGGATGTACCGGTGGTTTAACATCCCAAGATATCCCGGGAGGCCAAAGCAGTGTGGTATTGGCCACAACACTAAGGTTCGCCTTGCTTACTTCACTAGATTGCAAGGCATCATGGTTCAATATTTGATAGCGCATGAGGCTAACTTAGGCACGGGTGAGGGATGGTACAACCTTCCTGATGGGAATTCAATGCCCATCCACTCGGACCTTCCGACCGCACTGGGGAGGAGTGTCGTGTGAGTCAAGCATATATTTTCTGAATTGCTGGTCGAAAAAAAAACGGATTGCTGCTCCCAGAAAAGGAGCCTCTATTTCAAAAAAAAAAAAGAAAAAAAAAAATCCGCACTATCACAATGTAGATACTCCTCCTCTCTCTCTCTCTCTCTCTCTCTCTCTCTCTCTCTCTCTCTCTCTCTCTCTCTCTCTCTCTGCGTATATGTATGACATTTTCGTATGGGTGTCCCTCCCGTAGGCAATCTCATTTCCAGCAGAGTCGACATGCACGAGCCCGCTGTAGGGCGTCACCCTGTTAGAATTTTGAGCTTGAGTCGACCCGTTTGCATCCCGCAGTTGGCTCGACTCCACCCACACTCATGCTCAATGCGTAGAGCGATTCGTCACAAGGTCATCCCCACCTAGTGCTTTGAGATGGATGGGGGTGGGCCAAAAAGCGAGAGAGCTTTGACATTGAAGATGTTGCTTAACTTTCTCGCTAGGTGGGCAGTTTTACTGATTTTCTCACAAGCGTTCTTTTTTTTATGCTTTATCGTATTCTCCTGCAATTGCTCCTTCCAATACTGTAACACACGCAGTTCAGGGGTCCTTTGAAAACTTTTTCTTCTTTCATGTGTAGGCCATACGTCTTCCTTGGGCTACGCATCCATTCACTAAACGCGATGGTCTTACGACTTCATCAAGGTGGGAGACACCCCTTATCGTCTTGGCTGAACTACGCATTAGCCTTCTTTATCTCATACATCACGCTTCGTGTTTCGTCACTTTCCTATGCACCCCTTAGTCTTTTTGGTATTCCCACCGACATACTAATATGACTCGGCGGCCTCCCCGATCATATGAGAGTTTTGCTGACCTCAACCATACAGACCATCTTTTTCTTTCACGATTGCGACCATATGCACAAAAGGACTCATTCCTTAGAGAGGGTTACGTCCATAACTCGTTTGGTTTTTGTTCCCCCTTCCTTTACTTTGTCGCCCGGTCTATCTGGGCACATTACAGCTTAAGACATCTTTTAAGGC